GGTCTGATTGAATCAAAATGTGTTTGTGAGGCGCCACAGGATCGCTGCCCTAGAAAGACACAGGACGGCGTGTCTGATTAATTAAAAATCCTCACACTGTTGGCACCAGTGGAGAGGCGTTTAAATTACCGCAGGATAAAAAGGCGTACGAGCTTATTTCAGCGGAGTTTAACGGCCCCAAACCTCTGCGGGGTAAAAGCTGTTTGATTACAGCCGTAAGAGCTGCTCGGCTGAAGCGCGAACGGCCGCCATACGGCGCGCGCTCGGAAATGACCGAGTCATTAGCGCGCGGGTCGCGCGTGGCAGTCGCCAGTAAGTCCTCGGGCAGGCGAGTGACGCGTAAAAGAAAAATTAACAGAATAAAAGTAAACGCGGTAACAAAAAATAAGACCTGGAAAATAAGCCTCCCTTAGGGAAACCATGAGGCATCTTACGTGGATGTCGATGTTAATAAAGCAAAAAGGCGGTCACATCCTGTTGTTTTCAGGCTTGCCAACTCTCACGCATCTGGCGTGACACTCACGCTAACAGACTCCCCACGCGCATGCAATAAATCTTATGGCAATTCTATATTATTCTATTATAAACCTAAAATTAGCTACATTAAAAGCGTTGGGATAGTTTGCAAACCCTACAGACTATTTACAAGGTAGTAAAACTGTTACATATATGTAAATGCGTGTACATATGCGTGCCTCTCACGCCAGCCAGCTGACCAAAGTCAGCAACCTTGGCGTTTGGAGCAACCCGCGTGGGCGCGTGACTGAGCGACGTTCCTCGCGTGGCCATTTTTACCCAATCATCTTACACGCTACCAAAAGGCGTCACCCAATAAACATTCCTCATTAATGAGACGTAGAGCGGGTAGCTTTTAATCACACTGACGGAGAAAGTGCCGCGAAATTGAAACAGATATTTAAATGGTTGGAAACAAAAAGCATCCAAAGATGATGAATAGAGCAAAAACGGAGATGCAGAACGGGGACTGATGTCATGGAGAGCCCTTCGGGGAACTGCGGCACAGACATTAAGAAATGCAACAAACAAACAAACAAACAAATAAATAAATATCCGTTCAGCAGGATATTTGCACCGCTTCTGCAAAAACTGACTAGCCGCTGCGAGGGTGCACATGCCAGGCCAATACCTGTGGGAGGTGCTTAAATTACTCACAGTGGGGCAGTTTTATGCTTGTCAATTGTATTTGTGGGCAAGCGAACATTAATCAAAGGTGAAATGTATGGTAAGCGCGGGGCGGCTGGGGGATCTCGAGTATACGGACAGCGCGATCGGATAAGCAGGCATTATGGATGTCGGGGGTTTACCGCGCCGCGCTTGACCCCGAGTTACCGCACTGCCTTCCATTCATTTGGACGGCTAAATATGTCCAGCCGGCTCCTCTGTGTGTCATCCTTGGCTTGATCTGAATGCAAATGCCAAAAGCTCGAAAAAGTCATTTCAAAAGAAACAAGAAAAGACATTCCAGTACTTTAACACCCATATCTACCCATATAACACCCATATCTATCTTATTCAGTGTAGGGTCAAAGTGAGTCCTGGCAGTCGGAGGGCAGTTGGCAGGGGACACCCTGGGTTGGGATGCCAGTTCATCACAGGACACACATGCTCACACATACATGCATAATATCCTCCTGAGATCCATCAATTCATTTTTGCCCTCTGTAGAGGACATAATGATTTTGCTCATGTCTCTCAGACTATACATGCTACTGTTACATCCTGTTGTTCCTTAATGTGGACAGTGTGGGCTTAAAAATGACATCACATGTGGGGGTGTGATCTTGCCAATTTCCTGTCAAATAAAAATCCACCTATCCATTTGCTGTAACTGCTTGCCCTCTTCAGGGTTGCAGGGGAGTTTGGAGCCTATGGGCGCAAGGCAGGGAACATCGCAAGACACAATCACACACCTTTCACTAACACATGCACACCTACGGGCAATGCGGTAATTCCAATTAACCTCAGCATGTCTTTGGACTGTGTGGGGGAAACCAGAGTTCCTGGAGGAAACCCCATAATGCCAGAGTAAGAAATTCACACTATACACACACACGGAACACGAGTGGAGATTCAAACCCCGTTGTGAGGCAACAGTGCCAACCACTGCACCACCATGCCGCTCTAGCAAATCAAAATTTGAATCAATAATTTAAAAAAATAAGAGGGGGGGGGGGGTGGTATTGGCAATTTTGAGACACCAATATAACTGAATGTTCTTGAACTGTGGAGCAAAGCAAAATATCTGAAGGAAAACAATGAAGATCTGGAGAAGACGTCACAGCTCGACGAAGCTCCAGTGGGATTCAAACCCACAACTCTGGAGGCTGTACTGTTACCCACTTTCTACATACGAGCACACCAAGAATTTCCTTTCATGTATTAATACTTAATTAATCACTGTGATTGATAATGTGGTGAATGAGATTATGGACTACATTAGTGGACTTAGTGAATACAACTTTTTATATTTATAAATTCGGCCAGTGCTTTACGATGCTCATTCTGGTACATAATAATGTGTGTTTCATAGGAGAGCTACGGGATGATGTAACCACTGAGTCATATCAGAGCGCAGCGGATTTGGGTTAAAAAAAAAAAATTAAACAACCCATCATTAGGCTGAGAAGCTCATTTTAAATTCCCTGCTTTTTATCCCCAACTCCAAAGAAGCATCAGTCCCTATCGGCAGTATGGCAATTTTGGGAGGACGAGGCTGATGTTGTCAAGTGAAGCTAAGGGGCCACCCACGGTGTCTGACCCCAAACCGCGCCTACCGCCAGTCCGTGCCGTAAAACACCAATCTCATTATTAGTACCGTCACAGCGCAGAACTTACACTACATTCTGAAAATATAAGCCACACATCTCCGCACATTCCCCATACGAGGATCTTCTTCAGAAGCACCGCAAAAATCCACGCAGTTATCCATTATCGTTCAATGGTCTTAAATTTAACGCCAGCTCATATTTCTCCCCAAGGCTCGCAAGTCATTTCCGTGGGTAAGAAAATTGTTTTCATGGTCGCGTCGCACCCCAGGAGAAGACGGCGCAGTGGGATCGTGACTGATGCCGTTACTATAATATGCAAATAGATCGGGGGAAATAAACTGTGACATCGATCATTAATTTATTTCACCTCCTTATTCGATCAGAATTGCAAACAGGCATCTATAAGCTGCTTACCTTACGCTTTGTGCCGTTTCAAAAGTTTCCTCTATAAACAAAATTAATTATGCATATATAAATACATGCTACGAGGGAGATGATGTTCTGCAGGGGCAGGGAGAAATAACATATATCCAGGCACTTGCAACCATCCAACTTTTAACTGCTTATCTAGGTCAGGGTCATCGGGGGAGGGGTGGGGGGGGGGGCATTCAAGGAAGCATAGGGCATATGGTCGGGTAGAGCACGGACAGGTTGATAGTCCATTGCAGGGCACATACACAAACACAGACAAACACTACAGGAAATATAGAGACACCAATTAGCCTAACCACAAGTTTTTGGACCACAGGAGGAAGGCAGAGAACCTACAGGAAATCCGCATGACAAGGGGAGACCATGCAACAAAAAATCCCCACCCAGAGCAGATTTGGGATTCAAACCCCATCCGAGACCCATCATCAGCGCTACGTACTGAGCTGCTGCACCACCTGCCCCGCTTCTTCCGACGATTTTATTCCTCCTTGGCAGCTACTGACAAAACTGTAGACCATCTGCATTCCTGACAGAATTGGCTCAACAGTATAAGAGAAATACAATTCTGCAAAGCGTCCACATTAAGATAAGGAGATTTTTTTTTTTCCTTCTTGAAGAATAGCTACGTGTTGCCTTTTCAGTCCATTTACGTGCGGCTTTAGGCAAGCAACAGGCACGCCACGAGCGGCATTCAGCTCAGGTGTTATTTAGTGCTTAACGCATTCCAGTCTCACGAAGAGAAGCTGCGAGAAGTAGGGTTAGGCCACCTGGTCTTAAGTCGTTAATACCAGATAAACTGGAATAAAATCCTTTTCACCCATCTGTTCCTGACACGCAACCAAATTGCCGAAGACTCTGCCCCCCCCCCCCCTTACAGATCGAAAACTTGAAAACATTTGCAAGTGGGTCAGCATTTAAAAAAAAAAAAAACACAGCAAATTCTGCACTATCTGCTATAGTTGTTGGTAGAGGACAAAAAGTGCATAAAAAATGAGAAATCAATTTCCCTGCATGGAAGCCAAATGCTGAAAACAACACCTTAGAGTTAGAGGGAGAGAGAGGGTTGCGTACGAGTGATGTAATGCTCCTTGGAGGTACCCCATGAAGTGATCTCCCGTGTTCTGTGATCTGTGCCTTGAAGACGGGTAACCTGCCGTCATTCTGATGATCTGGTGGAAGACAAGTCACCCAGGGGGAACTAGAAAGGTGAGGAAGCAGGGAGCTCAGGGAGGGAGGCAAACTGCGGGCATCTCCCCGACAAATTGCCGTGGAAACGATCAGTCCTAACAGTTGAGCAAGTTTTTTTGCCCCGAGGTCACGGAAGCCGAGGACCAAAGGACCGGCCCAGCAGACGCCTGATTACCGACAAGTGATAAAAGCAGATGCAGTTTTGCCCTTACTTTGACTTGACATATCCGGCTATTATTTTCCACAGAATGCAGAACACCGTGGAAAGGATGGTCCTAGCCGGGGGGCCATAGTTTGTGAGATAACTGGGCTCAATATACATGCAGGTCACCCCACAGCAGTCATGGAGCTGACCACTAAAGCACAAATCAGAAGCAAGCTCGATTAATATTCAGATTTTTATAAATTACACCATACACAACCCCAAGTGAAAATACTGCACTGAAAGTTTAATCCCTGGAAAGTATGGCTCTTATACTACCAGAGAGGTCTAAGGTTTAAAGTAAAAATAATTACATGCCAGTGTGAAATTATATTTTTAACCGGTCATCTGTCAAAGGAGCAATACAGGCCAGGTAGATCAGCGCTCACCTCATCTTTATTTCTGTCCTTGCTTTTGCCGGAGTTTCTCCCATTGCTTGCCGTCTCCTTGGCCGGGACCACGGAGATCTGGTGGACGGGCATCGTACGGTGAGGTGGGGGAGGGGTGGGGGCAGGGCAGGGGGGGGGGGACACTCTTAATTGGGCTCTTGAGACCAGGATGGGGGCGGAGGGAATCTGATGGACGTGGGGGGGGGTGGTCGTCGCGTTCTTTCCTTCAGTCGGCCCCGGCGGCGCGTGCGTCCGCGCGCTCACGTCGTCGCCTTAGCATCGCCTGCATTTCAGCTACGGAGAGACGAAAACAGAAACAGCCGGCAAATAAGTAAATAGCAGAATGTGAGAAGCTGCTGACAAGGCTCTTACACATTTATTTTTTTATTTTTTTTTTTTTGGGGGGGGGGGGGGGGTTGTTAAATAAATAACTCTGCTGCAGTCATCCAAAAGATAACGACAGGCCAGACACACAGGGTCGGATATATTCATGTGGAAAACACACTTAAACTCTGCCACCGCTGCTCTCTCGGGAGGACGTCTGGTTCCTCCGGCCTCTAATGACTGTCATGGCAACCGGACAAACCTCGGGGATTGGCAGGTCTTCGTTATTAGCCGCTATCGTTAGCGCTACGACGGCCGAATTTGGAGTCTTGAGACGCCGACGCTGCGGGTGAGCAGTAAGGTCTGCAGGCTCAGGACCTATTTTAGACCCAAATCCCATCCTTCTCAGAGAGCACAGGCAGACCGCTGGGCTGCACAGGCCTCTAATCTGCTTAGATCAAAAGGATGTTCTCGCACTGCGGACACCTCCAGGGCCACAGCCAACCAGCGCGGGGCATCCTTGACCAATGGACATCTCACGCTCATGAATATGCATACATACTCATGTATATTAAATACCACTGAGGGGACGGGGCTGGTGGACCTGTTTATTAATGTTACAGATTTGACTATAAATTACACTGCGCCTACAAGGCATGCCATGATGTAATAGAATGCAGCGTTTCCACAAGACGATACATATATGACAAGCATGCCAGAAATTCACTGTAATAGTCCATAGCCATAATTATTGCTTAAAAAAAACAGACTGCAGTGCTTATAAATTAATCAACTGGAAAAAAACATGTTGAAACAAAAGGAATTAGCCAGTCGTTATCGGTTATGTTGTTAAGATGAAATGGTTACCTAAGAAAGCCTTTTAATCACTTGCTAATCTGGCTGGATATTTTGGCAGGTAGCTGGAATCTTCTAGCAGTGTTTGTGCAGGATCCTTCGGAAAGGCCGAGAACAGGTGACTGGGGAACCAGAACTTCTAACCCTGTCCATGGTGTGTGTGTGTGTGTGTGTGTGTGTGTGTGTGTGTGTGTGTGTGTACCCTGCGAAGGGCTGTCATCTCCTCCAGAGTGTTTCCATACCTTACGCCCTGCACTTCCCAAAAAAGACTTCAGGCTTACAGCAACACTGAACTGCACAAATACGGAAGTTGCATGCATGGACGGACGGAGTTCTGCCTGGTGAATCTGGGTACCTTCAGCAGAGAAGCATCAAGCAGCTGCATAGTAGCTTATCAAGGACCCCTTGGGCTGCTACTTTAGCACCACAGAAACATGATCCAGTGCCATATCGAGAGAAGATGTGCAAATGCACGACACCCACGAAGGGCTCACTTACAACATCTATAACATCTGTGAATGACTGTCCACAGTCATTAAATGAGGGTGAGCAGATAATCCATGTCAGGGAGGACACTGAGCTGGGACAGGATTTGTAAACTAGTGTTTCCATTAGAAGGACCTGGATTCCACTTAAGCACTGAGTTCTTGCTGCGTGCTGATTGGTCAGTCTCATATAATCATGCATGTGCCAATAATGTTAATGTGAAACAGCTGGATGAGTCTTTCAATCAAGGAAACAAACCAGTTAAAGTGCAAGAAGAACTGAGCTATTTAGCCAAACACAGGAGCCTTTCAGATTGAAAGTAGTTCGTAAAACCTGAAGCAGATCAAAGTATCCTCCCTGACATGGATTGTCTGGTCGCCCTACACTAAATGTTTAATCTTTGAGAGTTTTTTGGTGGGCATCTGGACATATTATGAGAGGACCCGGGGCATTGAAGACCATAATAGTGGTAAAGGAGGAAGATGATGATTGGCAGGCAACAAGTTGGATGAGGAACCTGGAGAGCGAGACAGGAGGAACATTCTGGAAGCATACTATCTGTATGGATACTATATGTCAAAGGCATGCGGCATATTGTGCAGCACAGTTCAGTTATAAAACTCTCAGATGAATGTACAGAACAAACCGAGCTTATTCATCAGCAGTCAGTATAAACTCCTTCACTATATTTCCAATGATATAAGACCTTGACATGTGTCTGTATATTCCTCTCTTCAACCAGCTGTCCTTCATGTTTTCTTGAGCCCAAACAGCTCTCTTCTTTTCCTTCCATCCCCCACTCATCTCCACTTCCATCCTCAAATATAGTCTCTATTCCTTCTGCCAATTCAGTTTGTCATTAATCTCCATCCACTCAGATCTAGTCTTGCATTATTCCAGAGAGCATCGCTAAACCATGTCTTCTGTTCTACATGTGATCATTCTTGACCGGATGTAATTGATTAAAAAAACACTCCAAAATGACATTTTAAATACATAGCAGGTAGCATAACGGTTAGGAAAATGGACCCAAGGTTCTTGTAGGGGTTCTTCAGCAATTTCTCTATGCCTCGATCAAAATATGTGATTTTGTTTAAAAAGCTACTTGGAATATAAGGATCAGTCATGTCGCTATTTCCATCTAGTTAAACGCACAGGAAATTGTTAAAAAGCAATTTCCCAGTGCAGGAAAGTTCTTCTGAAGAGACAGAGAATTTAAAAATAAGATCTGTACGTACTGAAGTGCAGGGTTACCGGCAAAACTGGGAAAAACAGTAGAGCATTTGTACTTTGGAAACCTCCGTCAGTGCAAACAGACAGCTGTCCGCCATGGACGAAGACCAAATTCATCAAGTGCTGGACTGAGATGATTCCAGATCTGCAGTCTGGCCTAAAAAGACCATCTCTGTTTGCCTGCCCGCCCCCTTTCCCCCTCCCCACAACCCCCACAGGACTGGGTGAATAATCTTAAGTAATCACAGACTGGTGGTAAAATACTTGTATGAACCAATGGATTAACCAAGCCAATGTACGATTCCTTTTAAAACTCAGATTGTTTTTATTAATCCACACACAGATTCATGCTTTCAAACCGACGTGCAGCGCCCTCCATCCGCAGCCTACAATTAACTACAAAGGTACAGGTGACAGCAATGCTAATACACTCGTTAGCCGGATATTATCGGAACGGTATTTAATTATGACCAACGCGATTAAACAGTACTTAAAAACAGTGGCCTCTGTACATAATTTAGGCCCCTTATTTATGCAGTAACGGGATGAATTACAGATCGCTGGCGCCTCCTGAAGCTCACACTGTTTTCCGTTGAAACACGTAATTGTTATAAAAAGACGAGCACCCGTATGTCGATGTTTGTCTCCATTCATCAGGCAACGTGCTGATTTCCTCTCGGTTAAACACGCATAAATACGCAGACACACAGTATGTGTGTGTGTCTATAGTCACCTGGTGTCTAATTGCCGATAGATTGATTCTGTGTGTATAATATATATATATATATATATATATATATATATATATATATATATATATATATATATATATATATATATATATAATTATACACAGACACACATAGCCGGCATAGTCTTTGTTATAAAAAAGAAACACGCTGTCAGACAACCCATTAAAGAAAACCCCCTCTTCACAAATCCATTTATCTCTCCATAAATGTTTTGAGGATCAGTGGTGCAGTTTTACAGGTGTGATTGATTATGACATCGCGGTTCAGTGTCTAAATACACTGGCGGCCAATTCCCCAAACGATCCTGCGGTTTCACACCGATGCTGTTCCCAGCCTTAAAAGCCAGCGGTTATTTATTTATTTATTTATTTAACCGCATGTATTTTCCATCACATTGCACGTCGTGTCAGTCTTATAATGAATGTACAACAATGCAACCAGGGCAAACAAAATTAATACCCTTAAAACCGCGGACGGGCTTCAGTCAGTGAAACTTTCACAGCGCTAAAGATAATTATAAGAATTTACAACGAGGAGGACAACACCGAAGGAACCCTTTGCGGTTAAATTAGGCACATTAATAAAACATAAGATTACATTTATTTAGGCTAATCCGTTGGCGCGGCAATTTGCTCTTTTAATATTTAAAGGTATACCATTCATACAAGCATTATTTAAGGCTCTTATTGTAGCATTAAATCAGGAAAAACTAGCCGTTTACTACTGAAAATTTTCTCCTTCATAGATACACTCATGTATACGTTATAATTATATTTACTATGCTAATTCCAAATAAAGCTTTCACTGAACAGCAAAAAAAACAACATTTTCACGAAGCAGCAGCATTCTAGCGTTGTTGCTCCTTTTTAAATTATACTGTTGGTCCTATTTATTGACTTCCAGTTGGCTCAGGTAGTAAAAGCATTCATCTTGAGCAGGATCCTGTCACTAACCCAATTCATCTGCTGGCTGAGACAGGAAACTCCTCAGCCAGGCAACATTCTTAGCATTGCTCCACTCAAGAAGGGAGCGTTTAAAAATCGGCCTGGGTTTTACAGCTGTGCCCCCTCCCCCCTCAAATTAGTGCCCGGAGAGGATGAACCACATGTCCAGCTGTTGGCCTGTCTCTGGCTGACTTTCCCGCACGGCATTATGGGACTTGTGGTTTAATAACAGCACCGGTACTCGCCCCTTGATATGCGTAAGGCGTCAGACGGCTGGATGAAGACAGGAGATTAAACCCCCCCCTCCCAGCCCCCAAAAGCAACTACTTCATCTCACCACTAAACTTATAATGTATGCCATGATTTGCTAGACTGTTAGCTGTTGAATAATCAATACTGCAGCTGAAGATTTTAAACCCAAACAAACACTGCTGCCAGGCAACGGATCGTATTTACTCAACTACGCAAACTGCTGTGGTTCGGGAAATGTTTACGGTCCAGCAATCTCCTCACTTTGATATTCAAA